ATTTAACAGAATAGAAAGAGTAGATCCTCCTGATATCCTGATATCAGAAAGCATATAGGAAACAACGGATACCGATTTGAATTTATTGAAAAGTACTAAAAATGTAAATATAAGAAGCTTTAAGAAACTACGGTTAACAAAAATCCTTTATTTATATAATTTGAATTCAAAAGCGATGATGTTACACAGAAAATCAACGAGATGAAACACTGCATTAATAGGAACATATCTTAAAGTTAAATTGTTTGTAATGTCCAAAACCAAGGTGTTCCTAAGCACCATCGTTGCTTGGCATGTACCTCTTGAATTGTAACTTAATCAGCAGAATACAGGTTGACTTGCATTCCTCAAACCACTTACACTAGGGGAAAAGAAAGAAGGGGGTATGTCTAATTCAAAAAACATCTAAAACACTTGCGGTCAAACGGATTAAAGCGTTTCATCAGTGCCATCTTCAAACATTTCCTTGATTTAAGACATCAGTTTGATACAGTGAAGTCATTCAAAGTGATTATCGAGCAGTCGAATCCAAATCTTTTGAAATCTTCTGAATACAGAGCAATCAAGCGTCTAAAGCTAAATTTATGTATTCAAAAAGTAACAGTAATTAATTCCTCTTTACTATGAAAATATTATATCCATTTTATTGCATCACTGTTTATTTTAACTCTTTACCTGGTTTTTATAGTACTATTTTCATTGTTAATGAATTCATAATTTTAATTGTAATTGACTGATTTTAGCTATTATTCTTTAATACCATTAGTCTGTTTTCAGTTGCTTCATAACACAGCCATTTAAAGTCTATCAACTCTACGATATTCAACTAAAAGTTCGATGTTCTGGAACTTTCCTTCCCGCATTTGATTAGTAAAAACAAATTTTTTAAACTCTAACTTTATTGCCATTTTTGCTACAACATGGTACTCATATTCATCTCTAATCACTTTCATTCTCAGATTATTATTGATTTTTGTGCTTATTGTAATTCCAAAATATTATACTTTGTCATTAGTTGATGACAACCAAGTCAAATGAAATTAATCCATGTGATTCTGCACCGGTCTTTTTTTTTTGCTCCCTTTATTTTGGTTTAAAAAATGGTGAAGCTCCTCAAATACAGATACAATTAATTTTCAAATTCTAAACACTGACTTTCACTCAATTTATAAAGCACATCGATATTTAGTTAAAGCAAATTAATTTCAACTGATATCAAGTGTATTTGAACAAGTCAATTGAATTCGAATAATTTTACTTAAAATTTATATTTTTGTTATTAAAGTGTGTAACATTTTAAGTATACTTGCTTGAATGTTAAAAATTGTACTTCTTTCATCTGTTTTGAGAGTGATTTGCAAAAGATTTACCAAAAAATATTAAAAATAACTAAAAATCAACAGGTAGACATTTTTTAAATTTTCTCGTTCAATTGGTTTACACTTGATGATGAGAAAAAATTTAATTGTCTAACTTTTTCATTTTCTTATTAAATCGAGAATAATCGCTTTAAACTAGGAGTAATTTAAAACCTCTATTTATATTGTAGTATTCAAATGTTCATTTTAACTTTTTATTTCAAATGAAAATTTATCTATTCATAGAATTCACTGAAGAATTCTAATTATCTCTAAAAGAGAATAGAAAGCGCAATAATTGGCGTTTTTGTAAATTGCTTTTGATTATCGATATTGAGGGTTAAATATATGCAAATAAATAAACTATTTCATTAGGACACTGCAATAGAAGAATTCGTAAATTCTGTGACGAATTCGATGCAGGATACTTTAACATGAAAATTTGTATTCACTATGTGTCAAATAAAACAAATAACCAGATTTAAATTACCTGCAATTATTATTCCTAGAAATAAAAATGGTCATTTTAATTCTGGTTTAGAACTTCATTTTTAAATTGATATGATCAACCCCATAGTTACGAGAAAACTCAACAATAAATAGTTACCAATCATATTCACAGCCGAAACAGTAAATCAATTGTATACATTGTTTTTAAAACTGTAGATGATTCAAACCACTTTTCCATAAAGTTTTTAAAATACTTCTTTGCTGTTTAACCTCTAGTTTTGGTAGTAATCGTTTCCTCAAAACCACTTTTGTGTTAAGCTTCATCTTGAATTAGTCCATTAAATGGAGAGTGATAACGAAGTGTCGAAACCGATTAGCAATATTGAAGTAGATTATCGACTATATCAAATTTATATTTCAGTGGTGCATTTTATAAGTTCAGACATGTTGATATTGATTAGTCTACAGAAAAGTAGTTAATAAAACTGTTTCACGTTGCTAAAGTCGTGTAATAGATTATCTGGATACCACACTTACATCAAGGATCCAATATATCTACTGGTTATCATGGTGAAAATCTTCAATCATTGAAAAAGTATGATACCAAATCTTCTAAATTGACATGCTTTCTATCTAAAAGTGTTATCCATCCAAACAATGATCTCAAGAACCATTCTACAGTTGAGAAGATCAGTGAATTTTCTTGTCAGGCTTGATAAGGTAAACGAAAAACATAACCTCCTCAGAAAATAAATTATTAATTACTAGTACCAAAGATTTATTGGAAAAAAGAAGTATCTTCTCTACTTTCCTGTAATAAATTAACTCATCTTGGAAAAATGACTAAATATTTTATTGAAAAAATGACTTTTGAATAAAATTTAGTATACCTATCAAGAAGCCAATCTATAACTATTACAAAACCTTTATTACCGTTGCATTCTATATTCTGAATAATCGTGAACAGTGAATTGTGATACATTCATTCTATTTTATGTTACTGTTCAACAGAATCTTCCCGCATCTCGCTGTATTAAAAATCCGACTGAATGACTTGTTATGAAAAAGTTCGTTAAAATAATTAAAGTGAGGACTATTCTAGAACTATTATTATGATTTTGCGGTAATCAAGCAAGTATAAAAACCTACTCATAACTTGCATAAGTAAACATTTTTCACTATTTCAGCTTATCTACAAGATAAAAATTATTACATCCAGAAAGATAAAAAATTAATTGATTGGATCTTTGAAACAAATTTAACATTTCCAATCGGAATCGCTCACGTAAGGTTTATTTTAGTGATTATGTACCGGAGTCAATCATATAAAAGGAGGGCGAATTCCAAATGTGCTTCATTCATACATTGATTTATATCTCATAGCTGATTTATTTGGCAAGAAAGCATAAACTAAAGTGAATATCACCTGATGAAACAGAGTGAAATCCCTACTTTGAGATTTCTTTTTAATGTTTCATGTATTCGTGCCATAAATAACATACATGGATTTTACAAAACAACAGCTTATAGGAATTTTAGGAACATTTTCAACGATCAATATATAATAAACTACTTCCCAAACGTCATGGAGATCTAATAAAGAATGAATAGCTGAGTATTATTTTTAAGAGTTTGTTCATTCTAGCATTAGTTTTACTGTCTGTACAGAAATTATGTGGAAATATCCCTTTTTTCTCACTTGAGTGTACATAGTTTTTGTCACTAATTCCAGCATGTTGCAAATTATACCTAACAAAATGATGTAATTTTTACAAATAAACACATCTGAAATCTTTGATTTTAAAAGATTCGGTATTTATACTTCTTTAGTGAGATATTTGTACTCTCTTACCGAAACCCAAGTTTCCTCACATTCCTAGAATGTATGAGGTTGTTTTTGAAATTTTCAAAATACTCTGCTAGTGCAAATATATTTATGTACAGTTCTGTAAATAATATTTTTGCTAACTGGTACTTATCAGTAAGGTATGCATGAAAGGAAGTGATGTTAAGTAATGGATTCACTTTCCCTTTTCCAATACCAGTAAACAAAGATATCATTGAGATTTGATGTCCGTAAATATGCTGCTGTAGGACTGAAATATTCACAGTAATTAATCATTGTGTACCAGTGAAAATCTTGTTTACATAGGTTACTACCCTGACTTGATAGACTCAGATATATTGATTTTATTTATTGCATCACACTCGAAGCAATCGAAATCTCTTTAGCAATTTATAAATCATGAATATATGTACATAAAAATAAAGCACTCACTTCTGTTTTGGTACTTAATAATTTATGTAGCACAATATATTTTTATATCATACAACATTAAACTACAATCAAAATAAAACACAAAAAAATCCATGCAATTTAACAATAATGTTATTTTCCAAATGGCATAATTTGGCTTCATATTTACTAAATGCAAATACAATTTGCATCAACAACGAATGTTGTTGCTTTTGTCAAAAAACCTATTCATGCAGATAATGAACAAGGTTTCAGTTAGATATTTCATAATCATACACTGTTGTGTTCGTGGTAGAACGTCGGTTATTGTCACCGGTTGTCATACCTGCACCAGTCGATCAAATACAAATCAGGTAACTGAATGAAAAAAATTTTCCTCCTGAAAAGGAAGAATATGTTCGCATTTATTTACCATGATAACATACTACTTAGTCAGTGGTTAGAATTCGCTATATGATTTAATTAATAATTTTCATAATAAATTAATTCACTAAATTGTTAAGCCTAAAAAAACAATGAAAAGATGAATCTTGTCAAAAGCCGCCTGAATAGGGATTTTACGATGAACCCGAAATTCGATATTAAATAACTTCTATTTTATGTGCATATATAATATTGAATAAACCATTGAAAACGATGTGGTTTTACAATGTTATGTTCGGTAAAAATGCTGGTTACTGATCCCCTTTCAGAAGAACATATTCATATTTTTAAGAAAAACCCTTAATTACACGGCGTCCAAACCATTTAAATAAAAACGAGTAAAAAGTTATTTTACACATATATGCATAAATCTGACCAATGAAACTGTAATTTTGTTTCAACCAATCATACATTGCTCTCATTTTATGTATTCTCCTCATTCATAAAATATATAAGCATTACATTAATATGCTCTTCCGTTGTTTTTAATCAACTAGAAAATTTCATCTCATGTGGATTTCATAAGAAGAATTTTAAATGCTTATAATTTATCAATTAAACCTTAAATGTACAAAAAATGCTTAATTGGAATAATTGTAATGCATTCAGTGATTTCTTGCTGCGCTCAATTCCAAGATCATGTGATACTATGGGATGCTAGCAACTGGAGGTGAGAATTTTTTCAATTCAAATTAGGAATTCGATTTTTATATTTTATAAATTTAATTGTATAAGTTAACTTGTAAAATACATCAGTCCGAAAATCAATACTAAACTGTATAATTTTTGTTGTTCGAGCATTTCACTGTAATAGATTGTCATATTTGATTTTCCAAGTCGTTTTGTTAAGATTGATCTGACTTAGTGTGAATCTGAAACAATCCTTAGTTATATATAAATTGCTAAATGTCTCAAAGTTCCTCGAAAATTCACGAATAATCTGGACAACTCTATAATGATTATCGAAAAATGTGCTCACTAGTTAGTAGCTATGTAAGGAATCTCTGAGTTCTAGTGAGGATGTGTAACCAGTGGAGTTTAACCCTGTTGGGTGTAGATAGTTATCTACAGAAGGCGATGGGTGAGGTTGTGTAATACCTTGGATTGATTGAAGTTAGACACTAACGCCGTTGGATGCCTGGTCAGTGGTTCGCTGGTTAAGCTTGGCCGAAGGCACTGGGTTCGAATCCTGAGAGTAACGAGGAGTCGTGGATAGGCGCTGCTGAAGAGTCCCATGCTAAGACGAGACGGCAGTCCAGTGCTTCTAGGTTTCTGATGGTGATCTGACAATGATTTCAATGAGAAATCCTAATAAAGATAGAAAATCGATCGAGTAATTTGAAAACATTTAAAAACTTATGATGTTTGTTCTTAATTAATACAAGCTGTGTGCTTTAATGTTTTGTTATTTCACATTCACGTGTTTCACATCATTTTATTATCTTAAATTGATACAAAGTAGTACTAAAATAATGAGAACCTTATCGACTTGGTATTGAACAACTCGTAAACAATAATATAGAACTTTCCACTCAACAGGCAGCTGAAGCATAAAATTATTCTCCATATATCAAATAAGGTATGAATAACTATTGAACTACGGGCACATCGAAATTAAATAGAATAATTTTAACAAACAAAATTTAAAACATTTAGTTTCTCCATAAACTTCAAGGACGTGATGATGTATAATTATTCTCAAAAATATGATGCACTAACGCTGAAGTGCAAGTAACTATCGTTTACTAATACTGAATCAAAATTCATAAACTTGACTTTATATTAATCATTTGAGGGTTATGTTTGAAAACGTTTTACAGAATTCAAAAACTTTGATTATCTAAAATTTTAAAATTTATTTATCTCTTAAAAAACATATTCTTTTTTTTAAAGTGAACCTTCCTAGATTATAAATAATGTAGTTTCATTGTTGAAGTTTACATGAAACTATTTTCTGATCATTCCATAGTGCATTTTCATAATTTATGTACGCATTCAGTACGCATTCATCAGTTTTGATATGTTGTGTTTATAAGCTCGTTGTTGTTCAAGCATATAGAAATAAACTACACATTAACTTATCATGTTATGTGAAGACAATTATGAAATTTTTGATTTTATGTAGTTAACGAGATTACAACAACATTAATTTACTGATCGAAACCTGTCATTTTCAAAGCTTAGACGGACAAAAGATCATTTTCCAATGATAAACTATCGTTAAGCCACACAATTTTCCCGTTTTTTTTCCATGTACTTTGTTAGTTGACAATTAAGATCTAACTCTTTAAAGCTTACTTTAAATTTGATTGATAATATTTCTTTTCACTTCTGCTGTGTATATCACAATAATAATACATAAATATAGTTCTATATTAAATCCATCACTGAAATTATTACTTTTCTATTCATAACGTTGCAATCATCTGTCAGCATTGTGTATTATTTTTCAAAAACATATACTTAAATTCAAACATTCCGAAGAATATTATGTTCAACGAAACAGAGAAGTAGAAACCAAAGATTCAGTATTTCTGTTTCAGTTTAACCAATGTGTTGTTGAATTCGAAATCAAACTCTAAATGCTTAATTTTTGTGATAAAACATATTAAATATGAATTCCATACTTAACGAATACTTTCTAGGAAAAGTAATTGAAAAAACATTTGCCATAAAAAACAAACGTATTTCATGTTTATTTTATAACAACTAGTTAACCTTTCTGGAAACAATTATTATAAATATTTTTGTTGCAAGGAATTATATCGGTAGATAAACGTATTGGACACAAAGATTGAAAAAGTTGATAACCTTCTTGACATTTTGGTATTAACATTAGCCTATTCCGTAAAATTTAAAGATACTGCAATTTATGTGTTCATACTTATAAAGCACAAATACAATGTTGTTTCGCTGAGAAAATAGTTATGAAATTTGTCACAAAAAATCACAATCTGATGTAAAGATTCCAGGCCAAAAATCCTGGACATTAATTTATTGCATTCAAATATTCGGATTTTCAGGTTTGCAGCATTGGGTTGCATAGGCAAACAACTAGTTTTGATATGTATATGCTGACGCAATGTAGTTTTCTATATGATTTTACATTGTTGCATAAATCATTTGGTAATAAAATATTAGAATGAAAACTGTTATCATATATATAGCTATTTTTTAAATAAGCGATTGCGGTGAAAAACTACTGATCTGGAATCAATTTGAAATGAATTAAGATTACATATGTAAAAGATTACATTCATACATTTTTTCTGGTTTCGTCATTCATTATGCGTAAATGTTTATAATAGTACTGTTTTCTAGGTTGAAAGAATATTTGTAAACGGTTGCAAACATTGAACTCTAAATTCACCTATATGATTTTAGAATGTCTTTCAAGTTATGGGTATCTGACGGATCCATATTTCATTTCGGTGTAGTGTGTAATATATAAATAGTCAAAATAAGTGTTCTATAGGGTTAAGACAACTTTAGAACTGTGTGGCTTGTGTAATGATCCCTTGTATTTTGCTTACAATCGGTTGCAGAAAGCTTTTTCTGATTGTTAGCGGAAATTATAGGGACCCAGATGTCTTGTAAAATAGCATTATTCTAATTGATGATCAGTATTTTTGCCAGACACTCTATATTTCCAGTAGAACAGTTGATGAGATTAATGTATTAATCAGGATTTTATGCATCACACTTGGTCGATTGACGGCAAGGTGAATACCTTATTATCTATGTAAATCTTATTTATTTCATTCAGACTTCATTGATGATGTACAGAAATCGAGAAATAAGTAAAACATTATCTCGGTGTTTTTAAATGCTAAAGATACACGTGATGTCGAGGTATAGATTGTCGGTATTTAAATTAAATTTAAAAAAAGATTGAACAATTCTTTCATCCCACATTTGAATTTCCATTTTTGAAATCCTGTTTTTTTTTCTTTCAACTTACATATCTAGGTAGTCCTAATGCTTTCATCTCATTACTGTGAGCCAGTGAACATGTCAAAAAATCAATATGTCTAAAGCAATTAAATGTTTGGCTTATGTATGAATGAGTTTTTTGTATGTCAGTCAATCAATTTTTATTTTATGCTTAGGTTTACTGCTATAAATTGTTTTATTTAAGAAAAACTTAGGATGCACTCTTGATGTTTCAGAAATGTACTTCACTCTACTTATGGTTGTAACCTATTTCTTTCACTTGAAAATATAATTATCTGTAAATGATGTGATAAATATGATCATCAGCTACTTTATTCAAATATGCTCAAGTGATAATAAGTGTTTTGTCTCCTATTCTATATAAAATATTTATCATGCATTGTTAAATAGACATTTTTTGATAAATTTCACAGTCAATAACTGGGTATATTATAAATTGGAAAATTATACAGATTTTATTATGGAATGTGTCGAAATGATGCCACAAATTCTCCTCCACATTTATGCCTTATTATTTCATACTAGAGATTCAAACATTCAAAATTATTAGGAAAATATGACAATTAATTGTGAGTCTTTTTTTTTAACACCTTAGTAGCATGTATAGTTTATGTGAATATAAAGTAGATATTTGACAATCTTGACGAGAAGATAAATGAAAACCTAATTCTTCAAGTTATATTATATCAAGGCACGAAAAATTCTCGAGTGATTTTACCATTTTCATTTGCGAAAATGGTGTAAAAATGAAGTAAAATTGTCATTGTATAGGCGATATAATGCAGTGAAAATGATTCAGCGTCCTAAATGTCAAAAGATACACATGTCGTCACGAAAATAATAAACATTTGTTAACTATCAGCTTGATTTTTAAGATACTGAACCGCCCATGTTACACTTGTTTAATACAAATGAATGTTTTGCTGTATAACTGACTAACTGTTATACATTTAGTTATTATATTATGCGCAATAATCAAGATCTAAATGAAATTTGAAAATTGATGAAGGAAGGCTTATTGAAGTATATATGTATTCATTGTTTTTAAAATGCATAGTTTTAAGATAAAACTAATCAATTTCAATGTAACAATACGTTAGGATTGCCGATTGCAAACCAAAACATTACATGGTATGACAGCTTTAAATTTGCAAAGAGAAAATCCATTCGAAATAAATACATAAATACGGGATTTTCTGAGATCTACATCATTAAGTGGTCATTCAAACGGACGTAACAGATAGAAATGTATCTACCAAAAATAATGCAATTTCTTTAAAAATTGTTCATAAATTCAACTAAACTGGGATCTGAATAAAGTTATATGTAGAAGTAAGAAATCAAATGGACCCGGTGTTGTGAATCGAAAGTTGCTAAACAAACACAAATTAATCCACTGTGTTTGGTACTTGTGACTAAAAATGATATGAGTTGAGAATATTTCTATTAGTTTTACTGTTACTGTTTACTTTAATTATGAAATTATTAAGGAAACTAAAAACAACCCCTTAGTAAAATTGGCTGACAAGCATAAGTCTAGTTGTATAAATACAAGTAATCTTTTATCATGATTCATCTGCAAAACGTAACTAAAAAAAATAGTTTTAATAATGAATAGAACTTTCAGAATGTTAAATAAGTCGTGAACATCCATCATTATTGTTATTGTGTTGTTGTAATCGTTATGATCAAATTAACAGAATTGATCAAATGTTAAATTGAAGAAATAAATTGAGAATAAACGTTTTCACATTACAATTGTAAAGTACTTTTATATATGTGCCAAATGATACAGGCTGAATGTAGCTCTGAGTTTTGTTAAAATTCAAACATTTACCAGCAATAATCGATATTAAAGACATTGAACAATTTGACAGTTATTGTGACTTGATAACTTTGTGAATGATAAATGCTGCGTTGTAAATACATTTAGATAAGGATCCCTAGATGGTATAAGACCAAGGTGCTAACTTCTATGCTTGACCATCATCGAAAAATCGAACTAACTCGATTCTAAAAGCAATTTCACAGTAACAGTTAGCTAAGTCTTACACTAAGAGATGATGATCGAATATATGAAAATCATAAAACACAAGCCTATTACTATCAACATCAAGGACAAAATATTGCGATTTGTATTGTGTACCAACGACACGTAATTATTATTTTTATTTTCAAGCTTAATTAAAAATCATTCAAATAATTTTGTCCTAAATTTACCCTAAATATTATTTCATTATCTAATATTATCTATTAGTTTTATATTGCAGCAGATGTTATCTTCAAGGTTAACATACTTTTTTTTTCTACATTTAGTTGTGTTGTTAGATGAATATAGTTATGATTTTTCGCTTCTCTACATCTTGTTATCAATCATCAGAGTTTACAGAAAACAGATTTGTAGTCAAATATTGTGACACAAATAATTTCTGACCATAAAATATTCATTAACCTGTTATATCTAAACTGATAAACTGTACAATATCGTTTCAATGATGAAGGATATGTTTTGTTAGTGTTTGTTAACTTATTGTCCGAGAAACATTTTATTGAGTTGATTGTTTGACAGGAAATATTAACGAGTTGTGTGAAATTCATAAACGATAAATGCTCAGATAATCGAAAACACAATATCATTAACTGTTTTCTTAGCATCCCCTTTAATTTTCCAACTTGTCATTTGAACATTAGGATGGTGTTTGTTCAAGTTTTTATTAGGTCACATGTGCGCATCTTTCTTAGTCACTTGATCATTAGGAGACAACTAATCAGAGTTTTCTGATTTGAAAGGTTTGTTTAACTGAATTCAACCTCTATTATGAACAATGCTTAAATATATACTGGTTATACAGTGTGCATAAAATGTTTCTTTAGCAGAATTTTACTTTTGTTGTCAATCAGTATTGAAAAGTTAACAAACCTCATTTGATGCGTGAATGAAAACTGCCCATCATGTTTATGGACAATGAAGTCAGGAAGCAGAAGGCGGTTGGTATTAGGATTACATCTTGAATTGTGAATAAAGTAATGAATCCAATGCATGAAGTTATTGACGTCACATATATGAGAAATTATGTATTCGTATGTCTTAATTTTAATTATGAAAATACAAACTACTTAAATAGTAATAAGCAAACTGTGGACCAACAACTCCCTACCAAGTTTTCATTAAATGATTCAGCTATTGTTTTCGTGAAGTAAATTTAACTAATGTAAAATCTAACATGTTAACTGATAACCATTAAACAACATATGTGATTTAATAAATAATTGCATCATATGAAAGAACGTTTATGAAAGCCGAATTATTCCAATAAAATACCAACATGACATAAATATTTTTGGTGGATAGTTTGTGAACTAATTAAATTCTCGTATCAATATTCAGCTGACTGTAGGTATAAATGAATCAAGGCTCTCAGTTAGATACAAAATTTTTTTTGACGTTGCAATATGTGAGTTCATATTGATCATTCACAGATGAAAATGAACATCAACTTTTTCAATTAGAGTTATCGAACGCAGTGTTTTTACGCGTTGAAATCCTCAGTCAATCATTGTTAGACTACTATTAGAAACCTGGAAGCACTGGATATTCGCTTCATCCTGGTATGGAATTCATCAGCATTGCACATCCACGACTCCTGTAACTCGCAGGATCTGAAAGAAGTAAAGAAAAGAGATTATGAAATTCAAGACGCAATTTTTTGAGTGATCAGAATTTTTATTTCTCGGAAAATTTTTCAACAGACACTTTCAGTTATCTTTCTTTAACCCTAAAAGTAAAGTCATTTTTGACATATTATCGTTGTATTTTACATTTTTCATAAATCATGTTTAATTAACTAATGAATAAATTATTTAGCATCATGTCAAAACTAGACTAGTTTTATGCATATTTTCATCCTCAGTTTTCTGTATTTTATGGTTTTGTATTTTCAATTTATAAATATATGGCTTGTTTATCTAATACATCCGAGAAACTTGTATAGTTATTCTATTTTTCTGATAAGCTCGTTAGGAACAAGCGAATTCTGTTTACAGCCATCAATCTTACAAAGTAAAGACCAAAACAGCTGGTTTGTGTATTACAGTCATAATCAAACTCATAATACATTGATATATTCTATTCGAACAATAAATGAGTTGTTAAAAAATAAGTGTTTAAAATAGACAATTTACAAATAGAATAGGAAAGTCACTTGTAGACAGTTCAGAAACAAAAAGTTTTCGACTGATAGAAAAAAAGACTTAATTGAAAAAAAATCAATTTTTGTTGAAGAAAAATTTAATTCAGTTTCTTATTCGCCATCACTTATTTAACGTTAGATACACATAATGAAGTAGAATAAAATGAAAAAAAAACAGTAACTACCAAAATTTAAATGGAACTTGACTTGTATGCTTTCATCGGGTATGGATACATGCACGTGCCACATAAAATTATTGTTAGTTTGATCTTGATTTATTTACCAACTTAAATACGGTCGTGTCGTTTATTTTGCATTTTGGGGAATTTTTTTATGACTTAAATTTCCTTGCTATATATTTTGGGGCAGAGTTTTGGAGGTTTGTCTTTTTACACATTTGAAATCATCAATCAATCAATGTTAGACCATCATTAGAAACCTGGAAGCACTGGACGGCCGTATCGTCCTAGTGACTAGTTTCGTGAGGAAATTCTCGGAGTTCTAGTTGAGAAGACGTTCAATCCTGTCGGGTTTAGGCAGTAAGTACCAAAGACAAATTGGTGAGGTCGTGAGTTAGACATTAACACCGTTGGATGCCGGCCCAACTGTCCGATGGTTAGGCGTTCGCGCACAATACCGAAAGTCCTGGGTTCGAATTCTGTGAGATGCAGGAGTCGTGGATGCGCACTACTGATGAGTCTAATACCAGGACGAAACGGCCGTACAGTGCTTCCACGTTTCTAATGGTGGTCTAACAATAAAAAATATGTTGTAATTAAAAAGTATCAACTTTGATTGATGCTATATATTTGCTAAATAGGTTAACAATATATTGTAACACTGACGACTAAATAGGGTATTATAATTATCTCACAAAACACTTGAAAATAAATATTTTAATTAAGTAGATAAGAAAATTTTGAGCAACGCGTAAATCTATAACGTACAGTGTAATATCAGTTTTCTTCAGTATTAAATAAAAATTCATTTCATACTCATAAACAGATAGTTAAAAACAAAAATATTGATAACTGAATACCTTTTTAATGACAGACTAGTAAAAGTCGATTGATCTAGGCCAGTATGTAGAATATAACACTGATAACTGACTCCCAGATTCGTTAATTGTTATTACATTTCAACTCAACCATATTGTGCAGCATAAGTGTTGTTTTCTTCTTCTATTAATCAAAGATAATATACGGATAAAGTGAATTCAGAATCATGTAAACTGAAGAAAAGATCTGAAAATTCACACTGCTCAATTGTTACGACCTGAAAACCTGATTAGTTCACAAAATAATTTGAATGTTCAAATGTTCTTTTTTTTTTACAAAACCTCAATAAATCAAAGAATTAGCTTACTTATGAAAATTTTTTAGAAAAGTTTGATGATATCAGATTGAGATGATTTATCAGATGTTTGTCAATTATTTTCAGATTTAAAGAAGGTCACAATGAAATCATTGTCATTGAAGGTGATAATCTGATCTTTGTTTGTCCATCAAATCGAACATTTTCTCAGTCACTCTACTGGGTATGATTTAAATTTATGCATAATTATAAATTTATATATATCCATTGATTTGTGTACTTGATAACATCAAACAATCTTTCTCATTATTCTGTCAAAATATGTCATTTGCATTTATAGTGTCAGTAATAAAACATAACGTGATTCACGAAATACCACCCCATGCCAATATAGATGTAAATTATTTCCATTGACCTATTGTTTGATTAAGCAATAAAATATTATGAAAAATTTACAATTCTTGATAGTTTCTCGCTTGAAAAACAACTTTCTTTTATTGCTAATTATTCAGTTTTGAAAATTTATAAAGATAAATTTTATTATAAGGTAACATTTATTGTCATAAATAAATAAAAAAAATGATAATAAAAATATTATTCAGACAAAAATTTAGTTTAATGTTGTTATTCTAGTGTCATTTCCTGCTGCTTTTGGGGATAAAAAAATTGTAAAATTCTTCACTATCAAAATATGGTTTTTTTCCAACTAATATTTCATGTATGGAAATGACGACTACTTAAATAAATCCGTTTTCCAACATACACACTTTACATCAAACATATGATCAAAGGAAATTCACTGATTGTGTAACAACAATAAAATTAAATTTAGCGAAAATATTTCTACAAATTCTTAATTTTCAGACAACAATCAGATTGTTGATTACTTCTTCAATTCGATTCAATTATTTCCCATATGATCATTCCATTCTAGTGTTTAATACAAATTTCATAACAAAATCTTCTGGATACAAGATAATACATGAAGGTGATCTTAATTAAGAATGTATGTTATAAAGATTAAAGGTTTCATATTTTGAATTAATTGCTATAAGTCATAGCATTATTGACTCAACAAAAATGAATTCTTATCATCAATTTTATTTTCAATGGTTTACACATATACATATATATTTTTATATTGGTATGTTGTGATGAAGACAAAGTGTTGAATAACAAGACAGCTATAAAATCAGAATTTCGATAAACTTCAATTGCGTTTCAAGCAGAAAATGAGATGAGAATTATCGTAAATCATGGAGTCCATTAGGTCGATGTAATTTCATTTGCGTCAACTATAGTATCTGTAATTTTATTTTGTAAATATTATTTAAATAGGATATGTACAACATGTGTTTATTCCATGAAAAAAAGTTTTAATTATCTAAAATCAACATATTGTCTGTTATTTTATTTTGTCAACAATTTTTTTTATCATAGACAAACGATTCTCGAGTAACAATTAAATGCAATCAAACTTTACCAATTAAAGTAACTAAACTTTTAGATTGTTTTGGTGATAATTATGCTACGGAATTTATACTCAAAGTCAGCAGATTTCATGAAATTTCATCTCTTCCAGTTTTCCATCAAAAATTCCCAATTCATTTTCTAGGTAAGTTGGTCAACTTTACTTTCAAATTGTATATTTGTATTAGAATAATTAATTCCATCTTCGTATTTTTGATTAGTTGCTAGCCGAATACTTTTCATCTAGAATACTCAACTTTGACAATTTATCGGCTTCATTTCACTGCGTTTCTTTAAATGATGTATTTTATTTTATAGCTCAGTCAGTTATATGTCAAAACAGTAACTTCCGATTAAGTGTTAAACTAGCATCGACGCAAACGACTACAAGCACTGATACAGTTTCCAATGATTTCGTAAGAAATACTAAATTAACGGATCATGATGAAAAATGTAAGTTCATCTTTTTACACAAATTGCATATATAGATAGATAATTCTGGGTTTTACAACATAATTTTTCAAATTTTGGCTTGCCTTCGTCAAAAAAGTGCATTCTGATCATTCTGCCAAACACGGAATGGTTTGCACGAAATTGTTCTCTTCTAAAGAAAAAGTGTTCTAGAAATGTCGTTTTATCATCATTTCCTACATTATGGAAACTTAACTATGTCACGTATTGTGTAAATCATAGGCTTATAATGTAATTTCAAAATTTTTTCATGTGATTTTATGCGGTTCAAATAGTTTGAATTACAAATCTTAGTTAGACAGCTTACGTTTAACTAAATGAGATGAGTTTTCAGGTAAATGATAAGAATGAGTTCTGGGTTGCAGTGCCCAATATGAATAAAGTAGAAATAAGTAAGTTGCTTGACAGTTTAAGTTTGACGGAAAAGAGAATCGAATAAAACATGACTATATGTAACCTGTATGTGAAGTGACAAGTGAATCTTACTGAGAACTATAAACTAAGATAAAGAGAGCAATATTGTAAACATCCAACAATTTCGTTTAGAAATCTATTCATGATTATATACTATTTGAGTTGTTGTTATTTGAGAAATTGAAGAAATCACGATTCAAAATATCATCAAAAAATGTTGTTTAAGTAGTATTTCAAAGAGTCGTGTTCATCGATAGGCACTGACAAGAACCACTTCCTTATATCAACAATCGGAAATAAAATCCCTCAGCCGTTATTGTGAATAGTGTTAAATATGTTTAATGCTCTTTAAAGTTAACAAAAAAACATTTTATCTTATCTAATTATCTTTTTTCAACAGCTACTACTCTCAATAAATCATCTTATTTTCTTGTCAAACCGAAAATTACAAAATTTATCACCAATGTCTCTTCAAGTTCATATTTAAATCATGATTTTACTAGTACGCAGCAAACTAATTGGAAAGAATATCGATTTCTTATTTTACCAGCTACATTAGCAGTCTTTACACTTGTTGGAATGCAGATTGTTATTTGTAGTTTCTGGTTACCAATTTCAGGAATAAATAAATTCTTTAAGCATTTTCGCAAATGTAAACGCTTACAAAATTCAGAATCACATCATGAATCCAAAACTCTGAAAGTTGACAATGGAAATTTTAAAATGACAAATCAAAGTTTGTGCTGGAGTAAACCGACCCAAACAGCCGTCAATTATTGTACAAAACATGCATTAAAAAGGTCATTTTCTAATTGCTACCAACTTACCACATCTAATAATCAATCAGAACGTTGTAAATTATTACATCAAAGTTATCAGTCGGATTTTAACAGACAAAAAAATCAATTTCAGGACTTAATATTACTGAAATCACTGATAGACCGTCAAGATTATTTTGATCGGAACATTAATCAACCAGTTTTGCATGAAACTTCAAATGTTTCATGCAACTGTTTTCATCAACAACATCAAATCATCATGCAATTAAACAAAAATCAAACAAATATTGTACCGATTTTCATTCCATTCAATAGAAAATTACATGAAAATTTTACGTCAACTCAAACAATTTCAGAATTGGTATAATGACGATGAACAGTGGATCCAACTGTTGTATTTATTTTCCAAACAACTTGATAACAATCAACACAACAGTCATAGGCTTTTAACTGTACAGTACAATAAATAGGGAATATTGGTTTATGACCTCCATAGTTTTATCGCTTTTATTTTTTCCAAATATCAAACAAAAGTTCAGTTAATTTTATAAAATTGCAAGATAAAAAGACTGTAAATCAATTGTCCATTTGCAAATAAGTAAATTCACTTTCATTTAGTTTCTTTATTGATTGTCCATAATAAATTACTCTTTTTGTAAATAGTAAATTCTTGTAACATTGAAATAAGAACACAATGAAATTGCCAGTCTAGATATTTATGTTTGTTTTAATATTATTCAGTGGAAATTCAAAATGAAAAAACAAAAACTAACAAGAGAATTTCTTTTCGTTGTTATTATTTTTTATTTCCTTTTATATCAAATTTATTTTTCATTTTTTATTTAATAACAACATCCTAATGATAGATAACTGTGACCATTAAAAACGAATGCCTTTCTACATTCATTGCTTTTCAGACAATAATCATCGGATAAATGCGTTATCTAGCATTTAACATCAGAAAGTGTTCATAGTGTAAAAGATAAACAGACGAAATCATTAAGATTATTTTACTGTGAAAATGAGAAAAAGATGGCCTATTCATAGACAACAATTTTCATCAAGGTTCAAGTTGAATAAACATCTTTATGTAATATGATTCAGTAATCTTTGCCAGTCAATAACCAATAGTATAAATGGATCATTGCTGATTACATTGGTGTTTATTCTTGAGAATATTTCTACAAGTCAAAGAATTTGTTCTGCTACGTTGAATGAAACTACTTTCCAGTCAGAAACAATGGTTAATTCATTACTGGTTTCAAGCTCGAAAAACATTGTGAAAGTAAATGTCATGCCAAAAAAACAAATAAATTTGATTAATAATTTACACTGTAACTGTATAATATGATAAGGATTCGTTAAGAAAAAAACACAACTTATTTCATATTTTTTACATAATCTGAATGAATTTCTACCTCACTAGCTAAACATGAGAAATGAATTTGTTTGTTAATATACTTGAGCTTTGATCCGTTGACAACTTTTTATTGAATTTTCCAAAATTAAACATAACGTTATACTTTAATCATTACAAATTAGTAAAATAAATATCATATTAGCATAAGGTATCTAAATAACAATTGCTTGATGTAAATCGTCATTACAATCGATGAATAAATAAATCTATAAAAAAATGAATAATTTTGCAGATGATGACAATTCGATCATTATTTATATTTTTTTGATCAATTTTCAATATGAAACGTAGTCATGACATGATTCACTGAATAAACATACAAACAAACAAAATTCACATGAAATTATTTTATTTCTTTGTCTTTGCTAGTTTATTTGTTTATTTTCAAAATGTATATGAACACTTGAAAGATGAGGAAATCGGGTAAAAGAAGCGAAAGATAAAGTAATATAAACTTTGATCATAAAAATTTTATGTATTATATAGAGTTATGTAATCTATTTTGTTGTGATTATTTACTCATAAATTGACTTGATTAGTTTAGTATTTTCATATAAATAATTTCACGTATTAGAATAAAGCCTGAGAAGGATTTAATCAAAGACAATACTCTTTGCTCATATGTGATCCAGACACTATTGAGTTTGATATTCCATATCATTATCGTTCCCAAAGCTGATCATTCACGTTCACACTAATATTATTTTTAATTAGGAAAAAACATCATTTTCAATGTATACATCAACCGGAAAAATACAGTTAAGCATATTTCTGATTTAAATTATCACAGTGAATGTGATATCGGAAATGATTTATTTATTTTTCCTTTCGTAGCATTCAATAATCATAGTCAGATTGGAACGATCGGGTTCAGTACACTAATTAATGTAGTACGAGAATTCCGATCTAACATCGCTTCAGATATATGTGCATTTATAGTTGATCTGTAAATGCAAACATTTTTGTATGAACTATATCACCTACCTTCCTATATATATGCATAAAAAATATACATTATAGACGATTTTGCCTGCCAATCACGTGAACGCTTAGATTTTTCTTTTAAGTTTATGGATTTCACTAATTATGGCTACTTGCTGTTCTTTAGATAAAATAAACTGATTATAACTCCCTAAGGTAATTATTTTTAAGTATGTCTATCATTTAAATAAAATGCTAGGATGGTGAATCTGCCTTTCTTAACTATCATATTCATATCAAACAGATGTACTTAATGATATAAATTAAAAATGATTTCATCTTTATATTTAATATAACGTTGGTCATAAAAAATATTTTCACGATAATAAACATAGACATGCGCACAGATTTCGCATGTTTTATTACAGAAACTTCATTCAACATAACTCTTTCTTATTTGTGATTGTGAGCTCGAATAAATGTTGAATATATTTTTCTCAAAATCACTAATCTATTGCACAAATGAAGAGAGTTTTGATAGGTGGCAGTGAAATGCACGACAAGCGTCTCATGATAAATCTTTTTCCTTCGATTCCATAAGCTGGTGTTATTGGGTACTCATTAACTAAGTGTATTACGCTTCGTGTTTTTGGATCAAAAGGTGTTAAGTTCAAACCCTGGTTTCAGGTTCATTCAGCTAACGACTTTCGACTGGATAAAGACGAGCGTCATGGATCCTATTGCTGGATATCAACAGATTTTGTTTAAAACTGCTTGTAACTTAACGGCATCACTGAGAAAATCTGCTTCAAATGAATGTTCAGCAAAAAAAATGACTGAATAATTACTTTTTTTAAGATCAACTAACAAAACTGCTAAATAATCATTACAACTGAACTATTTACTTGTAAAATCGATACAGGGATAAATTTTTATGTTTGTACTATTATCTCTGTCAGTGATGAATAATTGATGAAGAATGATAAAGAACTACTTCAAATTTGATGTGCTATATTTGTTATTTTTTACGATAAAGTTACATGAAACCAATTATTATGCACATTTCAATCAAAGAAACGTATAACATATAATAATTGGAGTCTTCTAATCATTGCAGACAGTGAAAATATATCTGGACCAACCTTCCGTTTACTGGTAAGATCGCGAGTAGACATGATAGGTCAATTCTCTAGGACTCAAGTAATTACTGATTTAGATTATTATAATATTTTCATGTATCTCTAGTTCTCAACTATCGAAACGCCTAATACTGACAGTCATTGGAAAAGTTAGGAGTGAACAGGACACCTGCTTAACTGAACTTAACCGCAGTGGTTGGAGCCATTTCGAGTTCAACCACAATTCATCATCTTACTTATTAATTATTTTCTGATAAAGATTACATCTAGTGTCCTTCTATGCTTCATTCTCTTTAATTTAATTTGTTTCTTTTAAACTAAATATTGTTTTCATTTCAGCATTAATTAATATTATTGGTTTCAGTCGTTCTGTTTTTCATCTAATGAACTTGACTTCTTATTATATCAATATAACATGCGACATCTTCAATCAATAAAAATTTGTAGCATGTTGTTTGCTTTCACTATTCGAATTAAACAACTAAAATTTATGGCGAATAATAAATCAAATTAAATAAGATTCTTAAGGCTGTGTCCATAATGAATATTGAAATTACTGCAAAATTCATTAGTGAACAGATCGATTTTCAGTGTAGGCAAGAGGAAAAATACCACAGTAATATACTGACAGAATTTAATAATAAATATTCTGTTTACTTTTCATAAACAGGAAATTTTATCACGATACTCTGTCGAATAGTACAATCTCCACAAATCTGCAAAACTAATAACAATCATGTGTGCTCACTAGTGACTAGCTTCAAGATGTGTCTTCTGGAGTTCTAGTGATAAGTCGTGACCAAAGAAGTTCAACTATTTCCAATGTGAAGCAGTTTTCCACCGCAGGTGATGTATGAAGTGTTTTGCAAGTTGGAGTTAGACAATCAAACAGTTGGGTGCCGACTAAGTGGTCTAGGGTTTGGAAGTCTTGGCACAAGACTGAAAGTCCTGGGTTCGATTTATGCTTGCGGGGTAATGCATGTTCTGTGCTGAGGACGGAACTGACGTCCAGTATCTACTAGTTTCCGATGGCAATCTAGCTATGGTCAGATTGTAGATCTAACCGTGGCATCATTAACAAGGATCTTAACAACCACTTGCTATGAAAGATAATAAAATCAGAAACACAATTTATGATTCTATTAGCTGATGAACACAAGTGAAGCAGTGAATCAGTCTACATGACATTCGCAAAACCTTAACAAATAATGGAGATTTTTCATCTTGAAATAAAAACGTTTATTTTAAGACGACTAAAAGTAACTAAAATACTTGTATTTTGTAACGTAATTCCAGACTCAATAAATCTATAACAAAAGTCACTACTTAGTAGCCATAGTATTTTGTAATTAATTGGAAATAATATTTATCTTATAATGTAATTATCTACTTTTTAAACAAATATTTTGGCACTATATACCCAAGACATAGTATTATAAGTTAGAGGAACTTTTAAAATCTACTAATGAAGGATATATTTAGGTCATGTAAGGATAAAGCGAAATACTTTGAAATTTATTGTCTATCAAGAATAATCATTTATCATATAAAATATTTGGTCATTTCAGAAAAACTTCTTCGTTGCTTGTACCATTAGGGATTGTCAGAATGCTAATACACTGTACGCAAGCGGGGAGTATTTTATATTACCTGATGAAAAAACTCAAAAAGATGAGTTGAACTTCTTTTTCACTATAGTTAGCTCTTTTCCTCAGAACTAAGATATTTACAGCTACTGACGAGCTTGAATTCTAAAGAGCTCATCGTTTTTAGCAATCATGTGTGTGAGTAGTTGACAAAAATAAACTTATTTGTACAGGTTGTGTGTGGCTGTGCAGCAAACGACATTTGATCAGCTAACTAAATAGGACATTTGGTACTACACAATGATTCCTCTATATAACGTCGACATTTTTTTTCCTACCACCTCAAAAAATAAAAACATAAAACGTATTTTTACACTCAAAACAATCACCTGATTAAAATAATCAGAGCAGCCATACTGAACGAGTAAACAGAAAAACTTGAATAGATGCAGACAAGAGGAGTTGTAAAAACCTATTCAGCGAATAATGGTTAACTTAACCTTTGGATGAG